ATTTTACCTATGGAATAAATAATCTTTGACTTTGACTTTGACTTTAAGCAGCTATGCAAAAGTAAAGCAAATGTAGTCGCTAATCGTCTACCTTTACAAACGCGCGCAATTGCATCGATGCAATCGCTAATAAATCTTTATATATATATATATATCAAGTGACGGGACGAACAAGTGCGTGCGCCTGACGGTAAGCTACACGCCTGTCCATAACAGTCACAGTGCCACTCAGAGCTTTAAATTGCAGAGATTTGAGGGGCACTCCCACTGCCCCTGTCACCTTAAGACATAAGTCGACAAGTCCCTGTAATTTCACCAGCACCCTTACCCTTCAACACCGGAACACGAAAATAGGTAAGGTGGCAGTACTTCCCTGGACGAACTCTATCACAAGAAACGCGCGTTTGCATCGCTGCTAAAAGCGCTGTGTGTAACCGCTCTAAGGGTACTAGTGAAATCACAGCCACATGGGACTTGTAAACTTACGTCTAAAGGTGACAGGCGCAACGGCAGTGCCCCACAAATCTTTGCCACTCAAAGATATATGTATAGGCAAGTCTTACCACCAGGCGCAGGAATAATTCTAAATACATGGTTATATTGAACGCGGATGGCATTGTACGATTGCTTGGTACAGTTAACCCACAAACTACACGTATATAGTGTCTGACAGTACGACTTAAAGAGCGTTACTTTAACTTGATCTGAACAGAGTGCAAATCTCCTGGCCAACATTATTACCACGCATTGGACCTTCCAATGAAATGGATAAGAAATTGTTATTAACATCTAACGAATTGTTATCATGTAATTAAAATTGTTGTAACACAATGGTACTATTACTAATGTGTATCTATGTATAATAATAAATTTTGAAATTGATGAAAAATTAAATGACATAAAATTCTAAATAACTTGACGATAAACTGCCTTAAAAATAGAACTGAAATGAGCTTGCCACTGTTGACGATTAGTAATAATTTGTGTTTTGTTTAATTGTTTATTTTATCGAATATCAAATTAAGAAATAATGTAAAAATTGTAGTACAAATTTAGATTTATTTAGAGTTTAGGATTGACATTGCTATGCCCTTACAGGGTTCATGTTTGATCTGTAATATCTAACTTAAGACCTAAGGTAAAACCATCTATCCCAGATGCCGCAGTGGGATAGGTGTTTCGTTTTCAATACCTAACTTCCCCAAATCGCAACAAAAAATAATTAGTTTAAATAAGGAGTATAGACACTACTCATCAAAGTTCCTGCAGGGCTTCGTGTGGAATAGACGCGTTTAGCTTGTGCATGCGTTTATTTCCGCGACGAATACGACAAACGGTTCTAAATTTCAAGTCGCAAGTATTTACTGTCGCATAACTTTGTAAGTTATAATAAATTCCGTTTTATTATTTTTTTAACTATACACTGGGTCATTAACTAACCTTGGTGTCAATAATCGCTCTATTGTATATAGCTTTAAATAATAAAAGGGCATCTATCCATATTGAATAGGATAGTCGCCTCGATTTTTCACGGTATAGGTTAGGGGCAAAGGACAAGACAATAAAGTTAGGAAAAGAATATTTTTGTATTGAATGTTTTGATAGCTACAAAAACAGGAAGTGAAGTAAGTAGTTCTTTAAATACGTATATGTTTATTATTAAAGATGTAATATGTTTATACAATATATTAAAGATTACAAATAAAACATTTTATTATGAATTTTACTAATTTATCCTTCTTAGTATTTTCTTCGTATAGCGTCTATCCATACAGGTAGGCATCTATCCTCAAAAAAATAGGCTTGCAAAATATTTCTTCAAAATAAGTAAATGCTAGATCAATAAAATCAAGTCTTAATGTAATATAAAAAATTAAACTAGTTATATCCATATGAATTATTCATGGTAAACTAATGATTTTTAAATTACGAGGACCTTTCAAAAACTGAGGCATATAATCTTACCCTATGTAACAACATATTACAACTATGTAGTAACAGGAATGCAATAAATAATTAGAATTTGAATTTGAAAAATTCGTCTCGTTAATATATAGTAAAAACAAATCGACATCTATCATTTACGAGAACGGCTACCCAGACTATATTTGATGGCTGATGTCGTTCTTTTAGTATCGTTACCTCGGTCACTGTAGCTGTCATTCTGGTCCCGTATATTGCATAAACTGACAAGAGCGGCCAAAAAGAACTTTAACTGGATTCGATAATACTGTCGATACACCAGTCACCGTTACACTTCCTTATTTATTTGTTAATTAATAAAACAATGGATAAACATTTAAAAGCTGAAACAACATCAGTTCATTTAACGAGCGACCTAAATTGAGCATTGAAACGCGGAACAAAATAAAACTTTTTCGCTTCGACTGGACCGAACCAATTTTTATTGAAATTGGATAACTTTTCCATTTCCACCAGTAAATAAGTTTTCCCATGTATATTCGTTGGAAATTCAGTGAATATTAATGTTATTCCAACGCAAAGTGTTAGTGTCAATGGCGAAGGGGGATATTTGAGGAAAGTAAGCAGCGGAAAGTTTTTTTTATGATATCAAGTGACGGGAATAAGCCGTGCGCCTGGTGGTAAGCGACACGCCTGTACATAACAGTTGCAGTGCCACTCAACGCTTTAAACCGCAAAGATCTGAAGGGACTCCTACTTAGCACCCTGAGACATAAATTTACAAGTCCCATATGCCTGTAATGTCACCAGCATTTTTACCCTTCAAAACCGTAATGCAATAATGGCAGTACTTCCATGGACGAACTCTATCAAGCTCCACTTCTATTAAAAACTTTACTCAAAATATAACACGACTACGTGTTCTAGACAATTACCTGGAGTAGAGTAACAGGTATATATTGAGTACAAGATTAACTCCTAGAACCTAGAACTAAACTCATCATGACAATTACTGCAACGCGTTAATAACGGTGCAAGTAATATATAATTACAGCCAAGATAGTATGGACACGATGTGTCAAAATTCTTTATTGAAAATTTGCATAAAGTTTATATAACTAATACTGTGACCGAGTGTACCTAACACAATGAGTTTGCACTAGAACCAGTCCCAGACAAAGCTCTTTTTGTTGCATTTTCGTAATCTGAAATCTATCTAGACTCCCTGCCTTTAGTCTAGACGACTTCTCGTGCAATGCTTTCTAGCATGAATGATCGAGCAACCCCCCAGATGTTGGAAAATAATTGAGTTGTGACCTTTTAATGCCAATTACCATAATTGAAAGAATATTTTAAATAGAAAACCACGAGATTGGTCGTCATTCGAATTTCAATCGATAGTGGATTTTCGGTACCCCCGGCTGGAAAACAGTGTTAGGTACTACGTCAGTGGTTAGTGTAAACGAGACTTTAAAAAGTGACGTTGTTAGAGTAGTGTATATAATGTATAGTAGTGTATATGACTTTAATAAAAATGAAGCAAACGAGGGTAGATTCTCGCCGACGCCGCCTGCGCCCGCTGCCGTACTGAGTGATCGGGCTGCCAGTAATATTTTTCCTTTTTTCGGCATTTCTCTACGTGATCGAATCAGAAATGAGGAGATCCGTGGAAGAACGAAAGTCACCGACATAGCTCGAAGAATTAGCAAGTTGAAGTGGCAGTGGGCAGGGCACATAGCTCGTAGAACTGATGGCCGTTGGGCCAGAAAAGTTCTTGAATGGAGACCACGAACCGGAAGGCGTTCAGTGGAACGGCCCCCTAGTAGATGGACGGATGACCTGGTAAGGGCGGCGGGTAAACGATGGATGCACGTCGCGTCCGATTGGCTGGTCTGGATATCTTTGGGGGAAGCCTGTGTTCAGTAGTGGACGTCTTCCGGCTGATGTTGATGAATATTTTTCCTTGTATTTTGTACCCCAAGTATTAAAAAAATATATAGTTGTTTTTTTTCACTTTGAAAGGTTTAAGGTTTTGAATTATTTCAAAGTAACCGTTAATGAAATGGTGAAAATCGCTCGCTTTCGAAGCTATATGACTTCAGCCAACCAAAGCGATGGATCGTTCAAACGCAATGCCGTCAGACTATAGTTGTAGTAGCAGTAGAGCCCCTTGTGAAACAGTTTGTCCAGGGAAGTACTGCCGCCTTACCTATTTCTGCCGCCAAACAGTAATAAGGGTGCTGGGTAAATTGCATTCTCAGGGTGTATTAATGCCCCTCAGATCTTAAAGCCCTGAGTGGCATAGCAACTGGTATGGAAAGACGTGTCGCTTATCATCAGGCGCATGACTAGTTCTTCCCTTCACTTGGTATCATGAATACAATATCAAACACCTTCACGCGTAAGGGAATCACCACACTTATTAACGGCAACGGATTTGACTGGAACCGACCAGAAAAAGCTTGGTGCCCATGCAATAACAGCGAAAAAGAATTGCGCGTTTTGCTTCCGCTCGGAACACGCGATTAGACTTCGTAGCTGTCACATATGCCGCCGGAAATCACGCAACATACAGCTAATGCATATATATTAAGTAGTGAAGCACTGGCATTAAAAGTCATTTTATTGACATTTTAAATTTGTGATTATCCATTGCGCCGCTAGGTGTCATTGCAGGTCAAGAATAGTTTTTGTTGTTAAAATTTTGGTTGAGGAACGAAAAGGACTCTCATGATAGCATACACAATAGTGTGTAGTGTTGGAGGAATCAGACTTGTTCGAAGTACAACCACATGTACTCGTACATAACTGTGTGTTTTACTACAGCTTATCCCCTGACTTCTTGTAACATTTTAAACTTATTTTTTAGTTGTGACGCCATAACAAAGACACGTTGATATTATTTTACCTTTAAGAGCGTCACCATATGACTTAGAATAAATAGACTTGAGCTGGTAGGAAAAACTTCAAGTCCGTGCAATAAAAGAGTATCGTGATTCTTCACTGTGCAACACATGAGAATGACGCAAATAATGAAGTCATAAATAGTACTAAAGTGGTTTTTCTCTTACTTACAGACGAGCACAGGAGCGGAACCCCAGGTGGCAGTCCTTTGCGAGTCGGGCGCCACCTACCACCCGCAGTACATGTCGGCGGCGGGCCGCTGGACGCCCGATCTCACTACCAAGCCGCATAACTGCCTCAAGGACAAGATGGAGATCCTCGACTATTGCAAGAAGGTTAGGAATAACAACGTACTGATAATACGCGTAAATCCAGAGAGACTATATGTGACACTAACATTTCAATCAGACCGCTTTAATCGTGCACACAGAGGTCAAATGTTAGCTGGTCGGATTTTCGTCGGAAAATATAGAATGACATGAATCAACCCAAAAAACCCACGAACGTTCGATCGACTTCCTTGTGCGTTAAAGCACGGCCCACAAACACCGCGCTCAGTAGGAAAAACCTACTAACTCCCTTACCTGTACGAAAAGTTTATAAAAAAAAACGGATTTCATGTAGTAGTTTTATTCTTTTCAGGTTTACCCAAGTCATGACATCACCAACATCGTCGAAGCTTCCCACTACGTGAAGGTCAGCAACTGGTGCAAACTGGGCTCCAACAATGCTGCCAAGTGCAAGGTCACCCGATGGGTTAAGCCCTTCCGCTGTCTTGGTACGTATCAAGGGGAGGCCACTAATCGTAACGACAATGACATTGTTGGAGATTTTAGGCTTAGTGTTGGTAGCTTCGCATGTAGTCTACGCCTTCCTATTATAGGCACTGTTATATATATATGGATTATACTAATTCAATAAGCTGTAAGTGCAGGAATATGCGACTTGTACCATCTCCATATTGCGGAATATTTTAATACTGGAGTTTCCTACTTCAGCATTACGGTTTGGATAATTTTTGAAGAACATTTAATGGCTTTCGAAAATTATTCGTATTTGTCTTTTGACGTTGACTCGGATCATGCCGATTTTGATTTCAAGTTGAATGGTCAAGGTGTGTATCATGTCGCATCAACAAATTTTTAATACTTACTCTATTTGGAGATGAGTTGGCGTTTGTCAGGTGCTATGCTAAAGGGACAATAATCCTTAATATCAAAAGTCAATTCTATCGCAACCGAGACAGGGTCCAGAACTAACTGTCTGCCTTTAGCTTTAGATACATAATAGATTTCCTTATTAGAATTGTGCATGATGCTATTTACGTGTAATCTACTCAGTTCGTAACTTTCAGACATGGAAGTGTCATTGGGACTTTGTTGAATGGAAACGATCACGAATATTACAGTCAACAGCACGCTGAGCAATTTGATTTTTGGACCGTATTCATTAGCGGCATAGAGTTCAATTTAAATCTTGAGTTTATAAAAACAGACGTGTTGTTGTCCGTACATATGTTGTGGTTGTTTCCTTTAATTTTATTTTGTTTCTTTTATTTTGATTTTGTAAATAAATAGTTTGCAAAGAAAATTGCTTTTTCATTTATTTTTATACATTCTTCCAAATTGTTAACAGCATGCTACTTCAATAACTGGTTTTAAATCAGAAACAACGCTTATTGACAGCGAATGAGGGCAGTGATTTGAATGAAACTAAAATAATTGCGTTTTGTAATTAAAACCACAATGAAATGAGGATAAGTAAGCTTTCTATTGTTGCATGATTGTTTTGCTTTCTATATTTATTGTTATGCACGGCTGGTATATTAGTAGGGGTAGTATGTTTAGACTACAGCTATGTGTACGCGTGTTTTCGTAAATTGTACGCAGGGTTATTTTTCCAATGACTTAAAACCTATAAAGAGCAGCCGATCCAAGTTTGTGTGAGAAATTGAAATTTCTTTGGTGTGAATTTTTGTAATTTATTAAAACATTTTATATTTTTTGTTCATCCTAAAGCCCTAATAAGGCTTCGAGTTATTAAATAATAACCCTGTGTACATGCTCACACTACACGCGGCTTGGTGACTTCAATGTCAAAAAGTAACTAAGAAGCCAATTTGCTTCAGAAGGTCCATTCCAATCAGACGCATTGCTGGTCCCGGAGAGCTGTCTGTTCGACCACATCCACAATCAGAGTCGCTGCTGGCAGTTCTCGCGGTGGAACGCCACCGCCGGGCATGCGTGTGCGCAACGCGGCTTGCGTCTACGTACCTTCGCGATGCTGCTGCCTTGTGGAATCAGCCTGTTTTCTGGAGTCGAGTTTGTCTGCTGCCCCAAGCATTTTAAGGGTAAGTTGTGTACGAAGTCCTTGGAGACTCCTTATTTGTAATAAGTCATTAATAAATAATGTAGAACTAATTATTAAAAAATATTCTTACGATCAGAGAAAACGTTTTACCCGGTTTTACAAATTCAAATTTGCAATAAGGACCTGTGGAAATGACGTTTAGTGTACCAATTTCATGTTGCGTTATAGATTTGTTCAATAAAAAAAAATTAACGGTGACTCAAATTATCTGTCGGGAGAGTATTTCTGAATGTGGTCAAGAACAGAGAAGAAAGATAGGAATGATACAGGCATTTCTCCAAGATTATTGAGAAATTCAGATTATAAGTACTGTCATCTAATTTATTATACGCGAACTAAAGTCTAATTTTGATATACGGTTTCAATTTCGAGAAAAATTAAAAAAAGGAAAGGAAAAGGATTCTGCGTTCGAAGCACGCCACTGTTGTCATATTTAAATATTTCGGATCTTTATTTCCATTGGATCCAATATAATAATAAGTGGAGTTTAATGTATAGGCACGGAAAATTGCGCCTTTGGAAAAATGCCCATATATCAACTCCTTTGTATTAATATTATGGTATGTTTTGAAAAGGTCCAATGGAAGTAAAGTCAGATTATTTATGCCATAAATCTCGTAGCAATTTAGGTTATAGAAAATATCTCTAAATTACAGAGAACGTCAAGATGCACAAACCCATGGACGTCGGCGTGCCCGTCAGCCCTGGCGGAGAAGAGATGCTAGCAGCTTCAGCGGCGATGGACGAACGCGATGACGACCTGCTCGACGATGATGATGCTTTGGACGATGACGACGACGATGATACCCTCAACTTGAGCGATGATGATGACGATGACGACGCTGACGATGGTTAGGCTTTTGATTTACTTTCTTTATGTGTGATGCTTTACTCTAAAGGTAGTAATATCATTTATCACTTGGGACCGAATATTTGGATTGTGTTCAGGATTGCGTAAAGTATGTTCATAACTAGATTGGTGGGTCTAAATTTCAGTGAAAAGTACTAGTCCTAATCACAGGTTTATTTTCCAAATTGCATTAAATTTATAATAAAGTCTTAAGATACACGTATGCTTAGTTTCAGAGACGAACGAACAGAGTGAATATTTTTTAGACATGAATGTAAATGACTGAATAATAAACAGGTTGCTGTGGTCGACATCATACATCTACAACAACCACACACAAATGCTCAGAAAGGAGGGCTTAAGTCATTCTAAGCACTTCCTTCAGAGCAGTCTTGTTTTCAATATGGGTTGAAACAACTTTTCTTTATAGAAATTCTGCTCCATTAAAAGTATAAAAATCGTGCCTAATAATCACGTTATTCTTTCAGATATGGATGAGGATGAAGACGCAGATCTCTCCCGAGATGACGATACTGAAGATGATGATTATACCGACGGCGATGACACCAACTGGCCGCGACCGGAGTCTTCGGCTGCTCCCTCCACCACCACTTCTAGCACCACTACTACTTCCACTACCACTACTACGGTAAGCGTAGAAGATATTGAAAAAGATCAATGGGTAGTGCTAGATGATGAAGTAAACTAATTAGTATTTGTTGAAGTGCTTTCTGCTGAAATCCATTCGCATTTAATTAAGGAATACCTAGCATTTGTTCTTAATGTGTTGGTGGAGTAAATTATAGTTGCAATGTTGTACACTATTACATTTAGGAAATATTAATGTTTTCTCAGGCTTCGACTGCAACTTCCGATCCGTACTTCTCGCATTTTGATCCTCGTACCGAGCATCAGAGCTACAAGGACGCACAGCAGCGCCTCGAGGAGACCCACCGCGAAAAGGTACCTATGCATCAAAACTCCTTCTCTTCGTGGACTGTTTAACTTTGTTGTTACATTTCCATATACCATCCTATCGAATGTGTATTATTATATTTAAAGAGTAGGTCTGCGTTATCTATTTAAGAGAATGTACATAACTGTATTCAGGACAAAATAAGAAATATATCGGTTGTTTGCAGATTACGAAGGTGATGAAGGAGTGGTCGGAGTTGGAAGACCGTTACCAGCAGATGATGTCGTCTGACCCGACCTCGGCGCAGACCTTCCGCCAACGCATGACTGCTAAGTTCCAGGCCAACATTCAGGTATCACGATCCAAAATATCTTCTTTGCCAAAAAATGGGACGCATCGGGACAAATCGTTTGGTATTTATAAGTACGTGTTTTCTTTCAAGTGCACTAAACACAGGGGTACGAAAAGTGAACTATAACCACCGGAGTTTAAATAGTATTGAAGTTTGTGCAGAAAATAATATGATCGTTTGTTTTCAGTCTCTGGAGGAAGAAGGCGTTGCCGAGCGCCGGCGCCTGGCCGCCCTGCATCAGCAACGTGTTCTCGCGCACTTGGCCCAACGCCGCCGTACAGCTCTTGCCTGCTACACGCGCTCTCTGCGAGACACGCCGCCCAATGTAAGATCTTTCATCAATTCATGCTTTACAATAGGTCACTGTTCGAAGTCAGTTGTTTGTTTGGAAGTTTGGAATACATTACTGATAGCTTCGCTTATTGGATCCTATTCCCGTATTGCGTTATATTCAATTAACTGATTACTTGATAGAGTCATAGTTGATCGTGGTCTCCCTTCAGGCCCACCGCGTCCAGAAATGCCTGCAACGTCTGGTCCGCGCCCTTGCTGCTGAACGCAGTGGCGCTCTAGCCGCATGGCGCCGCGCTGCTGCCGCTGGAAGGGAGGCTGCTGCAGCTGAACGCGCCAGTGCTGCCGACCGATTGCAGGTGAATTCTTAATCAGTGTTCCTCGGACCATTGATGATTTTTAGATTTTCTATAAGTTTCTGGTCATGTACTTACACGGATGCCTCCGAACAGGATGCAGACCGCGCTCTCCAGCGAGCCCTGACCGCTCTCCGCCGCCGCCCGCACCTTTATGCTAGCATTGGTACCGCCATCGAGGACTACGTTCAGGTAATCAAAAGCATTGTATTTTTTTCTAATGCATACTAGATAACAAAGATGTAAGCGTTTTACATCTTTCGCACCCGAACCGGAAGTTATGCGCAGTCAACCATAGCAAGAAAATGTGCTGTAGTACACCAATGACAGAATTGTAGTTTGTTTAAATATGATTCCTTCTCGAAAATTTGTTAAATCCGTTTTATTGTTCATGTGACAGATCATTCTTCATATAATAGTTATATTAAACCTGAACGTGAATAGAGGTTATCAAGACTGGTAATGTGTATGCCAGATCTACACGCAATAACAATTTTTTTTCTATACGTGTTCAGTCCATGCAATCCAAGGACGATATGGCAGTGTCCTTGATGTCAATGACCCCTGAAGCCGAGGAGTTGCTGCTGGACCGCATCGAGTCTGAAGTTCAGAGGGAACAGGCTGCTCGGGATCAGCTCAATGCCAAGAGGGATCAGCGCACTCGCCAGCGTCAGGACATTCAGAATGAACGGGCTAAGGTATGGAAATACGAACCGTTACAATTTTAAGCATATTCATTTATACATAGAGGAGGTTCATATTATTTTTTATTATTAGTGTCAAAATGCGATAAAATTTTATCGCATTTTAGCATTTTTAGCATCTTGTCTTAGAATTTTAGCATCAAAATTTGAAAGAAATCATGTTCAGAAAAGACGACTGTCTAAAGAGAATATCTGAAACCAATACTATAATTTATTTCAGACTTCTAACAACCTCAAAGAGTCCGAAGAATCTGACGACGAGGCCAGCGAAGTCCTGGATGACGAGACCACCGCCGCCCCGACCACCCACAATCCCCCTTCATCGCCTTCCGCCTCCCCCTCGGCCATGCCTTCCTCCGTCTCTGCCCGGGATGCTACCACTCGCGCTTATATCATGGAAACCACTACCACTGTGAGTATTCTCCTCATTACTCGCTCTTAATTTCTGGGACCATTTTTTTATACGAAAATTATTAAGGATGACCTAAAATTGTAACACCAAATAACTAGTGAACAAGTTGTCAATGCTAATTTGCCACGAATTATAACTGCTCTTGGGTAATTTTCCGAAAAACTTGAAAATGGAAAATTTTCCATGACTTTTTTATCTAAAATGTAAATGCTCATTTAACCTCCATCTCACCTGATGGAAAGTGACGATGACGTCGACAATGGAGCATGGACATCTAAATAATTCCTATTCTCTCGCCTGGAAAAGGTCCAAGTTATAACGTTCAAGGAACAAGACTGTAGGCAGCAAATTTCAGTCCATACCATACGAGTACATACAAAATTTACTGTTGTTTAATAGGAGGTGATAACAAGTACGGTGACTGAGGCTCCGGAAAGCGAGACTGCTGACACTGGCTTTGTGGGAGAGACCTCTAGCCGCCGATCCACCGAGGCTAGTACAATATTAGGTTTATTGTTTCAATGTAGGGTTTATGGCATCGAGGTTTTAATAATGTCATTTAGTGTCAGCGTAACTCGGGAGCAACCCGAGATATTTTTCGCAGTGATTTTTGACTTTCCTCCTTTTCAAAAATGTACCACGTACCAACTGACTAGTTTAAGGGGTAGAGGCCAAAAATGTTTGTCATAAACGACGAGTTGCTATTTCTGCAGGCCGAGAGCGAGGTCCTTAAGGCGCACCTGGTCCGCGAAGAACTGGCTCCGGCGCAACCCGCGCTTGTTATGAAGCACGAAATCCAACACACGCAGCCTGTATGTATACATGTTAAATTTTTTCAATAGCCAATTTATTTAGTGAAGCTTGGTCTTTCTAGAAAATCTTTTCAACTCTACCTTATCTAGACGTGGATAAAACTCGTAACTCGACCAAATTGAAATGAAGCTTCATAATTGATATTATCTTTTCGTTACTTATTTTACAGTATTTTTTTCGGACGGAGAAGGGGTATAGACCCACACGATTCAGGCTTTGCTAAGTTGTCATTCTTTCGGAAGTTCTACAGTTTGGGTTACAGTAACGGAACCCCCTCAACGTTTGCGATGATCAAAATCTTCCATTTCATTCCCGGCTTCCATTTGTAACCATCTTTGTTACACAGGCTAAATTTAGGCAATTTACGTATATGCTATACTTTCACTTTATCCGGTACGCACCGTTTATAGTTCATTTTTCAAGGCTTATCATTTCGTGTTCCAGAATCGAGTTTGAATCACAATGATTAATTAACATTTTATAAATCTCATCTAAAGAAAGCGAAGCGTATATCGTATTATATATATTATTCGTAACAATTTGAAATAGTCAAATGTACAACCTCAAGGTTAGCACTTTTTCAAGGTGTACACCCTGCGGTCGGCGTCGAGCCCGAGCGGCGGCGCGGGCGCACTGTACCCCGCGCTGTGCGTCGGCGGCGCCGCGCTGGCTGCCGCCGCCTGCGTCGCGCTCGCCGTGGCGCGCCGCCGCGACCGCGCCCCCGCCGCGCAGGGCTTCGTGCAGGTCGCTACCACCTTTTCAAATAAGGCCGGATTTACACTTGTCTGACGTGTCGTGTCGTCACGTGAATGTATGAAACCGATACCGGTTTCATACATTTATATTAGTGTGTCACCGATGCCGTTCTGACGCGACACGACACGTCAGACAAATGTAATATTCATTTACTTTGGTTAGATTATATAATTTTTAACCGACTTCAAAAAAGGAGGAGGTTCTCAATTGGACAGTATTTTTTTTGTATGTATGTAACGTGATAACTCCTTTTGTGTACCGATTTTGATGATTCTTTTTTGTTGGAAAAGGGGTACCTCAGTATTGGTCCCATTTAAATATTTGAAGTAAAAAACATTCGAAGAAAATATTCCACCTCTAAGGGTGGCAAACTAGGTGATGAATCCGGTTTAGCGCACTTTCCGGTAACCGATTTCAATAAAACTTGACAATTAGATGTAATTCCACGAAGTTTTGAGGTCGGTTTTCTGTACTGAGATTATATGACGAACAAATTGGTCGCTGTTTTCTAGGTGGAGCAAACCGGCGCCGTGGCCCCCACTCCTGAAGAGCGACACGTGGCCAACATGCAGATCAACGGCTACGAGAACCCGACCTACAAGTACTTCGAGGTCAAGGAGTAAATCCCTCCCCTCTCCCACCACCCCTGCCCACCCCTCCAACCTCTGTGAACAGTAATCGATGGTTAGAATAACGGATTAATGTGATGTTTATCCATTTCCTTTCTTTATGAATATCCGTTTTCTGTGAAACATGATATCTGTTAGTATAAGAATCCATAAACATGAACCAAGTCAAACTGACACTCAACCTTAACGACATCTGTTGATATATAGTGGCAACTCGCATAACTTTTACAAGTAGATGGCGTTGAACGATACGTAAGGATCCTTAAAATGGTGTCGATATTATTATTATATTGCAGACTGGGGGTAAGAGTCGCACCACTTAGGGTATCCAATATCTTATATTTTTCACGTCATTCGAAATGTTTCAAATTTCAGAAATCGTGTTTTAAGGGATATACAACGTATTCATGAAGAAAGGGACATTTTTCGAACTCTATGTGATGTGTGTTAGATGATGCCCCGTAGTAAACAGGGTGTTTTTGTACCCCACACCTTAAATGTATCTATTGTCCTCTGATAATTCTTTATGATATGAATGTGTGTGACTCTGTAGTCGTATCTATCTTGTGGATTACAGCACAGGGCCGGTGGGAGGAAGCGTTCTACGTCATTTACAATTATTTATTTTCAAAAGCTTGTGTGATTAGTGAATATGATATTACTTTGTTCGCGATTGTTTCGCATTCAGTCAAACAATACATTGTCTAAGATTTATAGGTGATACGGTTTTCTTTTTTTGTTATTATTTTGCACCAAACATTTATTATTATTTGTTTAAGGTTAGGCATAAGTTTTTGTCTAGTGTCTTAGAAATCATAAGTGTCATCTTGTAGTCGAGTTTTAATTAAGTTTTCGATGCCGCAGCTCTAGCGATAATGTCGAATGGACACCACCATTAGTCTAATAACTTCGAGGCATTTTCTTCTTAAGACATTTCAATGATGATCTCAGTTTTTAAGTACTTGTATCATTTAGTTGTATTTCCTTCGCGGTGGTCCATTAAACATTATCCCTTTGGGCAGTGGAATATACGTCCATCGTGCGCTGTGTATATAGGCTCCGCGTACAAATTTGAACCTATAATACTTACTCTAAAACCAGCTTTCCTTTACTTTTCTATTGTAGGTAGAACATAACGTGAATTTTATGTAATAAAATGCGGAAATATATTTTAATAATTAATGTGAATTAGCGAAGGGACGGGCGGCATAGCCGGCGCGGGTGAACGCTTACAATCCACTAGTGCATACTCTTCTAGTCTATAAAGTGCTATCTATTCCTGTATCTCCTGTTTATTAATCTAAAATTATTTATTTATCCTTAATTATGATCGTATGTTATGTCCCTGATAGCAAACAAAGTGATCTGTCTCTTTCACTCTTTTAGAAATTCTATCAATCCGTTCGCCCGCGGGACAATACTCTTGGTTCCCCATGTGAAAGAGCGCCGTGTACTCAACGTGTGTTATCTAAATTTTAACACTTTTGATAAAAAATATTTTATAGGTGTAGACCTTAAACCAGGCCCTGCCTGATGAGTGAGGTGCGATGAGGCTTATTCATCAAATAGATAACTTCATTTAATAGCATAACTTCTCGTGCAAGTAATTAATACGTAAGTTCGTATTCTCACACCACACAATAATCGGATCGTTTTAGGAGATACGTCTATAAAAATAATTTTGCGAAATAACGTTTTATTTATCTAGTCAAAACTTGAGGCATCCTGTAACTTCGGGCCAACGGTTGTGCACACACCTTGGGTACGCGGTAAAGGCGACGAGAAGGTAAGCTTAGTGAGTGTATGTACGGTTATTATATAAGTAGATGTACAAAAAGTAATACATTATATAGATGTTTTAGCGTCAGATACATAGATATAAAGCAAAATATTATTATATATCGCATTCGTCCGTAAATTAAGGGCTTACGCTCGTGTCTAATCCCACGTACCACCTTAATGTTACGCCGTAGTTAAGATGCAATTCTGCCTCAGTATTATATACTTAAGCTTATTTGTTACATAAGCTAATTTATATACACTTATTCTATTTGTTTACGGGCGTAGTGGCGTTGCTACGTAAAGGAAGTCATATCAGATGCGTCACGGCGCTCTTTATTGCGTCTCTTTTGTTTAGATGCCTAAGCAGGTGGAAATTGGATTTCACTAGCAATTTGGTAGAAGGTGAAACAGATTTAACTTTCACAAAATTTTCACACATCATTTGATGATGATTCGGGACTTAATCGAGTATAAAAACATATTATATTTGCCTCGACGTTTCGGACGTGTTGCAACGTCTACAGTCTCGAATTGACTCGGGCGTGTTACAACGTCCATGGTCTCGAAGGAACTCGGGCTTGTTACAACGTCCATGACCTCGAAGGGACTCGGACTTGTTGCAACGTCCAAGGTCTCGAAGGGACTCGGTCGTGTTGCAACGGACGTGTTGAAGGGACTGTCCATTCCTTTCGAGATCATGGACGTTGGAACACGTCCGAAAACTCGAGGTAAATAAAATATGTTGTTATACACGATTAAGTTCCGAATTTAAAATCAAATAAGGTGAAACAGTTGCGTGATAAGTAACGATATTCATGGATAGTAACATTGTCACCAACTTTCTACTTACGCAGTTTCTAGCGAGGGTCAATCCCAATAAAAGAGGCGTATGTAGGCGCCCGCCCGTGGCTTTCGTACGGCATTTACGTAAGATAATCACTGTAACTGTGTAACGTAAGTTTAATCCTGCATCAAGTAACCGCTGTGTATTTTTACTATGACTTATAACAAGCCGACCATTTATTTTTTTAAACTTTTTGCTCAAAATCAGGCTCCATCTCGTCGGTTCGATCTATAAACTTGTTAGTCTTTTATGACAATCGATGTTTGTAGCAATACCCTGGTTTCTGTACCCTTTCCCGATCACTATATTCACGTAATTTATAATAAGTCTAATAACATAATAAATGGTTTGATGATTTTTGTGTTTACTGTGCTGCATTTTATTGTGAGTTCAAGTTCAAATTGAATCAATAAATAGAAATTTAAATATTGGTGTTTTATTGGCATTAGCCGCAGTAAAAACTCTGGGAGCCGATTCTCGTGCGCTGAGATTTAGAAATATTATCACATTGTCAATGTCTGCATAAAATTTGCACTAAAATTTCTACTGTACTTTATAATAGAGATGTACTTACCAGAAATAGAAACCTTATCAATATAGTAAACGTCATATTCAAACATTGACTTACAAATAAATGGACGACGGGTCTAATACAAAAACCACGAAAAAAATGTCCCAAGTCAACCTATTCGAAATTTAAATTGTAATGTCATCGCAGTATCGCGCTGTCAGTAGAACAAATGAAGACTAAAGCGGAGTGTCGCGCTCTGTATACGATTTTAGCGCCTTACAAGTGCGGACACTTTTTAGCGCGGACCCGACGTCCATATAATTGTAAGTCAATGTATTCAAAACATAATCTACAAAGCGTTTTTTGCACGTACATCATGACCTACCTTAACAATTTCTGCCGCCAAGCAGTAATGTGAGCATTAGTGTATTTTAGTTTTAAAGGGTCAGGATCTTGGTAAAATTACAGGCACATGGGACTTCATGGTGGCAGGCGCAGTGGCAGTGTCCCTCGGATCTTTGCGATTTAAAGCTCTGAGTGGCACTGCAACTTTTACGTACAGGCGAACACCAGGCGCACGACTTGTTCGTCCTGTCATCTGGTATCATAAAAAAGACTGTTTTCAGTGATTAGCAGAATGTAACTAAACGCGCCTAGACTATGGATTTTTTTTTCCATCCTGTAAGTAAACGCGTCATTGTGTAAAATCAGATCTATGTCAAAAGATTTCATAATTAAATTTATGTCACGGAGTTTCAAATTGGCTACTGTGAAGATATAACGATTTTTCGTGAAAAAATATCAGAAAATTAAACTATTGAAAAAAATTGCAATTTAAGATCTGGCAGTACACAATTAGACGTCTTAATCTGTCTCGAAAAGAACGAAAAATTTTACTTCTGCATGTAACGTACGATTTAGATTCATTTATTTCTCAAATATAACATTACAGCATTGACTTACAAATATTACAGTATAAATTGCACTACATGTCAAAGTATAAGAAATTACATTGAGATCTTCAGACAAAAATGAAAATTATAAGAAAAATACGCAATAAATAGAAAATTAACAATTCATTATATAATATTGTTGTCATTAAATTACGTATCAAATATCATTCTCCGTCAAGGATCGTCATAAGTTGATTACAATTATAGAAGAGTATGTTAATGTGGCAAAAATTAGAATAAAAATAGAAAATACTCAATTCGTTACAATTTTAAGTCCATAAACTCATTTAAGAGTATAAGGGATTTTTCAAGAAAAGGTCTTTCAGCCGGCGCCTAAATGTTTCGTCAGACGGTTCAAGCTTGAGAGTAGCGGGTAAACGCTCATAGTAAGTAGGTCCGATGACACGCGGATTTTTCTCTGCAAGTGCCATGCGTTGGCAGACTGTTCCCAAATGACTGGTACGGCGAAGTGGGATGCCAGAAATATAGTACCAAATGAAGAAAGATTACTTCTAACGTACATTATAATTTCGTATATGTAGAGTGAGTAGTGCGTCATTATGCGTTGCGCTACAAAGAGATTTCTGCAGGAATGTCTGTGTTTTACCCCAACCAATACGTGTACGGCATGTTTTTGCATTAGCATTGTGACGGTGTGACCTCCTTTCACCGTCATCTCAGCTCTTTGTATCGCCTCTCTCCGCTTGTATCCTATCATTTTTTATTTTACATGTATTTAAATTTGAATTGTTCCATCTTCCTTCTCTTTCTCATTCTCATTTTGTTTTCGTACCACGGTCACTCCCAGCTCGACCGCGACAAGAGTCGGAGCGTTAATAAGCTAATCATGTTTAACATTTTATAAGTCTACAGTCTTCATGTATCTATTTCTGTTTTTATTTCTGTAATTCAGTTTCTCGGCACTTTTGGGTCTTACTCCTTTCTTTACAATTTTTTAATAAATTTTGTGGACCGGAAGTTTCCTATTTCATTGCCGTGAACATCTTCACGGCTAGTTAGGGTTACAACCCTTTCAGCATGACTCTATTGGCATCCGTGGAGTTACCCCATATGAGTGAACCGTATGACATCAGCAAGCGGAAATGTGCAAATTAGACCTGTCTTTATGCAGAATCAGAAATGAGCAATATCATTTTTCGCAATGCAAATACTGCACCACTCAGTCTATCACACAGTCTGTCAACATGGCACTTCCAGTTAAGATTCGCGTCCAGAGTGAAGCCAAGGAACCCACTCTCATTGCATATCGGCATCGGATTGCTTGCTACACACAGAGGAACTGTGAGACCTCGACCCGAGAAAACCATTATGTTGGATTTTGTGATATTCAGCAGCAACCCATTCGATGAAAACCACCTATGTCAAAATTTACTGCCTCGTACTACATCTCGATCTCTACTGCCTAAGATCTAGGGTCCAATTATGTCTATCGTGAGAATACCAATAACTGTTTGCAGTTGACATGCACCATATCGTTTCGACATTTCTGTACTACAATACTTTCACTAAGGTAAGATAATCGGCGCTCATGTCTATGTGCCTTAATTTAATGCATTTTTTTACCGTAATGAAATTAATGATGACAGATTGTATCAGTTTATCCCTATAATATCTACCAGGATAACAATCCTATCAAAAATTGGGTAGGTATTGTTAGAGCTGTAAATATAAAATGTAAATATTGTAGGCTTCTACTGCATTGGCAAGTTCCAATTGCCATAGTAAAATAATGGTGCATTAGGTGCTTAATCGAAGGTAATCTACGCACATAGCATGCCCTTATTAACAAACAAACTTACAAATGAAAAAGATATAGCAAATATGTTTGTAAAGCAATTCAAAGTAGAGGACTCGCTCCAAACCACATTGCCATCTCGCTTGAACGATAAAGCTCAGGACCGTGGTGACACGCTGACTGAATTGAGACTATTTGTTACGCCAGATATGATCTGGAATTGTGTTAGTAAAATGAAACGAGGGAAATCACCGGGTCACGACGATTTGAGTATAGAACATGTTACACGGAGGTCCGATGTTGCATCAGAAAATGGCATTGTTATTTAATTTATGTTTGATTCATGGTTATTTGCCGTCTGAATGTATGAGGACATGCGTGGTGCCAATAGTTAAAAACAGAACAGGGTGATCTTAGTGATCCATGTAACTACCGACCTATTTCCCTGGCTACAATTTTTTCAAAAATTTTAGAAAGGTTGCTTAACCCTGTACTTTCTGAGCATTAAATGATACCCAGTTTGGGTTCCGTCCAGGCCTGTCGACAGACATGGCAATATTTTGCCTTAAAATACCGTAAAACATTATGTTAAAAGAAAAACATCAGTATACGCGTGCTTCCTAGATTTGAGCCGCGCTTTTGATACAATTAACTACGATTTATTGTGGGAAAAAGTGTCAAAAGCGACCTTACCAATATAAATAGCCTGTCTGTTGAGGTACTGGTACGGAAATCAAGTTAATAGCGTTAGGTGGGAAGACTCAAATTCTGACCCATATACATAGACTGAACTGTGGGGTTAGACAAGGTGGACTGACCTCGCCAGTTCTGTTGAATCTGTACGTCAATGACCTGGTGGAGGAGCTCAGCAGAGCTGCTGTCGGGTGTCATGTAGCCGGCGTTTGCGCGAATAACCTGAGCTATGCAGACGACATGGCTCTGCTGAGCCCCTCTATCACTGGACTACAGACACTGGTTTCGATCTGTGAACGATATGCCACATCGCATGGCCTCAACTATAATGTTAAATAGACTGTACTAATGGTATTTAAGTATGGCAAAGGACCGGACAACATTCCGCCTGTCGCATTGAATGGCACCGTACTAAGTAATGTATCGAGCTTTAAATACCTAGGGCATATACTTACCGCAAAATTGAGAAACGATGAAGATTTGGAGCGACAGAGGCGGACTATAGCCATGAAGAGTAACATGTTGGCGCGTCGATTCGCTCATTGCTCCGTTCAAGTAAAAATAACTCTGTTGAGGGCTTACTGTCAGGCGTTCTACACTAGTCAGTTGTGGTACTATTACACTAAGCGAGCTTTTGATAGACTCAGAGTTCAGTACAATAATGCATTTCGCGATATGCTGCGGCTGCCCTGGCGGTGTAGTGCGTCTGACATGTTTGCCGTGAATAGAGTAGACGATTTTTTATATATAATACCATAATATGGAAGAGATATTGGTCTTTTCTTGTGAGAGTGAGCCATTCGGCCAATATAATTATAAGAACAGTATGCGATGCGTGCTACTTTGTAAGTGACCACTCCATTATTAAAATTTAAATAAATTAATTTTTGTTATACTATCATCTCTAATGTGAATTCAATTCAATTTAATGTAATTCTCAATTATTTACTTCATTAATAATTATAATATTCGGTAAATAAAATTCAATTTAATTGGTTATGTAATGTAATGTAACGTAATGTAATTAATAATGTTAATTTTATTAATGGGTGTATACCTAAATAAAGAAGCATTTTATTTTATTTTGTATTTATTAAAATTAATAAACTACATTACATCTATAACGACATCTATGGTTTTGCTAACGGAACCTGAAACATGAATCTGTTACAAGTTTGTACGAAGAACATTTCATAGTAATTCATAGACTTCCATCTAGATGTCGTAGTAACTTTAGAATTCGTATCAAGTGTGGTATTAATCAATACAAATTGAATTTAAATAAAGCGCCGTCTACCGATACACTTCTCTACTAACTACAATAATGGTTCATTCGATTACTACGAAACAGCTGGTTCACGAAGAAATTCCACATATGGAATATAGATGGCGCTAGTTTTCACAATACAATACCGTTGCGTTGCGTATGATGTGTGAAATCGTACTATCATACTCGATACTT